AATTTTTTTTCTTTTCTGCCTGCCATTTTTTCTACTGCTCAGTTTGAAACGAATGAATAATAATAATAGCAATAATAATTTGTCACTTTTGTTTTGCTGAAAACCTGAGATCTTGGTGATTGTCTTCAAAGTTTTCACTTTTTTGCTTGGGCTATTTTGATATTTTTGCCAATTTTCCCGAAAATGTTTTTCGACTTTAAGTTTTTTTGGTTGTTGCAAAACTCGTGCATGTAACCAAACACGTAATATGACCTGGCCAATTAAATTCCATTTTTCGGTGGTCTAGATTAATAAATCAACGGCGATCAACATAATCAACCAACCAAATAAATGAACAACGAACAATTCAATTGCCACTATTTAACTTTTATATTCGTGCCTCATGATATTTGCCATTTTACACAGGTTTGCACACACAACACACAAATTGTTTGTTGAAAATTTGATGAAGAAAAATGCTTCGCCCGATTTGAAGAAAAAAGTCCGAATCTTTTTTGTTAATCGCATCACCCACATAAATGAATGAATCACATTGTTCGAAATAAGGATTCATTTTTCCTCTGTTTTGTCGGTTGAATATTTCTGATCCATCAAGATGATGTTCTATTTATCAATTGTGTTTTGATCTGATGAATAGAAAAATCAACCGACTCTTTTGATTTCCCGAAGGAAGCAAAAACGAGAGCACATCATCTTTATCGATCATCTTCACCTAAATCTTTCTCGTTCTCTCTTGCTCCGAGAAACAATGAATACTTATTCAGCATGGATGACCATTTCCATCAGACCAGATGTTAGTGGCAGCAACATGCAAAATATTGAACATTATCGAGAACGGGTAAGTTTTTCTGCATGAAAACAAACTTATAAAAGAATTTTGTCAATGTTTTTCCAGACTAAACTTTCAATATCTGTTATCTAGATGATGGCACATGTTAGTTCCACGTTGTGTGCATTCTTTCTGTTCATAATATTCATGTTGATCGAGCAGGCACAGCTATTAGAATTCAATTATGATGAGGAGTTTATTGATACTGATCGACCAAGTGCATTGCGCTATCATCTGCCGTATGAACATGATATTTATGAAGATGTTTATGACCATGAAACAAGCCAATCACAATATGGCGAATATCGACCAGATACAGCATTCAACCAAATGGATGATTATGTCCAACAACAACAATCAGAATCAGATCCCACATTGCTTGATGATCAAACCAACTACCATGCTAACAATGATGATGATGATGATGAATCCCAAACATCAACCATATCATCCAATCATCCCAATTTGAATCCATTTCAAACAGCTCAATCTGTTGCGTGAGTCATTTTGTGAAAATTCCTTTGAAAAAATCTGATTTATAATCCTAATAGTGTTCAAGAAATCAACACTAGATCGGGTCATTTTCGTTGGCGTATTCTTGCCGATATGAATGCGAAATCCAGTATCGTCAGATGAAAAAATGTCGAAGCCGGTAACGACCTCTAGTGGCCATTGATGTAGTCATTTTCAAATTTTGTTTCATAAAATAAATATTTTTATCAATTTTGGCAGCAATAAAGAATTGGATTGAATGAGGATTATCTTTGTTTGCTTATTTATTTTGTCTGCTTTCTCAGTATGAGCAAAGAATGTTTTCAAAAAATAGCCAAATATAATCAATGTTTCTCTACAACTTTGCTTATTTGGTGACAAACAGATTCAAAATGATGACGAATTGGGTGGGCGGCCAAATCAAAAATTGATGACCATTTGGATTCTTGATGCCTTGCTTTTCATCATTCTTATCGATCCAAGTGAAAAATGATCAAAATTGACGATGATGTTCAATATCAATGTGTTTCATGTTTACCTGGCCTTTTGTTTTGAGAATGTTGGAAAATAAAACAAAAAACAGTTAGTCTGTTTGCAATACTAATGAGTATTTGTTGTTTACTTTCAATTTTTTGCTCAAGGTTTCTATTTCAAGTGAATCAAGTGATGACGAACATTTCTAAAATTGGCGTTTCCATTACACTATTGTAATAAACGTTTATCAAAT